CGGCGCTGTCTTTGGCACTCCGGAGCTCCAGGGCAGCAACTTGGCCAACGGTCTGCGAATAGGGGGTCCAGGGCTTGCCGCTTGGAGGCGCTTCCGTGAATGCACCTAGGGGGTCGAGGGGGTCTGTTCCTCCGTCCTCGTCGGCGGCAGGGTCTGGGCTCGCGTTCAGGCTCGATTCTTTGGTCGTGGCTACTGCGGCTCCAAGGGTCGCCCCCCCAGTCGGCGCATCGCGCTCGCCCTCGGTCTTGCATGCCTGCCCGCGCCAGCCCTGCACGTCCATGGGCCGGTCCTTGGCCCCTTCGTTGCTGGGAGCCTCGTAATCCATCCTGGGGGACTGACCCGGAAGTGTCTCCTGTTCCCGAACCTGGCTGTCTGATTTGAGCGTTTGCTGCATCGCTGGGTCTGTTCAGCCAGCATGCCGCTGGAGAGTTTGCCGTGGCTGTGGTCTCCATCGCGGTCTGTACTGGGCCCAGCTTCGCCAATGAGTTGATGGTGCCGTCGGCGAGGGTCGCGGGGTCCATGTCCACGAGGTATTGCAGTAGGGTGCTGAGCCTGTGGCGGAGAGGGCAGAGGCCTCGTTGCTCATCCAGGTTGGCTGCGTATGCCTGCCATTTGCTCGCATGCATCACGTTGGCCCGCGTCAGGCGGGAAACCACCCGTGCCGCTGCCGCCCGTTGGCTGTCCCATGGGATACCTGGGGGATGGCACTTGCCTGGGATCGTCTCACCGTAGATGCTGACCAGGAAGAGGCGCAGACATTGGGGGGGCCAAGACTCCTCGTTGGTCTTCACGCCCGTGATCCCGACGCCGTATTCCGCCACGTAGTCCACCCACCTCTCGTAAATAGTGGGGTTCCACTCCAGCAGGAACTTGACCAATGAGCGCAGGGCGCTATGAGCGAAGCGTGAAACATTCCATTACTTTTTGCACAATTTCCGTCTTACCGTTTGCCTGGTTTTCAGAGCGTCCAAGACGGCCCAAGAGGCACCCAAGATCGCCCCAAAACGTCCCAAAATCTCCCACAAGGGGCCCAAGAGGCCCCGAAGATGGCCCCAAGAGGGGCCCAAGATTTGGAAGACATATTTACATTGTTGGCCCTCCGCCCGAAGATGGCCCCAAGATCCCCTCGTAAGCCCCAGAGATGCGGCCAAGAAGCCCCAAGAGGGCCCAAGAGGCCCTGTGGGAGGCCCAACTCAGCCCACAAGGGTCCTCCAAGACGCCCCGGGACCGTCCCAAAACCGCCTCCACGAGGCATCCGGGAGGCCTCCCAAGAGGTCCTCACAGGCGCCCAGGAGGCCTCTGACCTACAACCCAAGTGCGGAGGCGGGATAGGCCGAGAGCCACTAGACCTTGGCCCGGCACAGACATGGAAAGAGCGCTTCAGAAACAGAAACCGAAATTATTCACACCACCGTTCGTACCGGGAGCCTTGGCGTTGATACGCCACCCCTCGCTCTTGGGAGCCTTGGTGTTCAGAGATTGTTGCGTTGCCGCCCGTTCCTGAGTTTTGGCTGGGCCTTGGTGTCAGGAACTTGTCACGTCACCGCTCTCTGCTGGGAACCTTGGTCTTATCAGCTTGTTTACGTCACCGCTCGCTCTTGGGAGCCTTGGCGTGAAGAGGTTTTTGCGTCACCGATCGTTATTTATTTGGCGTCTGTGGGCTTTCTTGGGAGTGCTATTGGGGCCCTTTGCGGGCCCTTTTGGAAGCCTCTTGGGAACCTCTTGGGGGCCGCTTGGGGCTTCTTGGGGGGCTCTGGGGGCCTCCTGGGAGCTTCTTGGGGCGAAAGGCTAAACATTTCGGTTCGTGGTCTCCCTCTTGGGGCCCTTGGGCCGTCTTGGGCGCCTCTTGGGCCGTCTGTTCGGCGGCCTCCACAATGGCCCCGGAGAGGCCCCCCACCCAAGACCCCCCAAAAAGAGCAACAAGAGAACCTCAAGAACCCCCAACAGACCCAAAAAATGGCTGCAAAAGGCGTTTCCTCCTCCTCCGCCTCCTCCGCCTCTTCCTCCTCCTCCTCCTCCGCCTCCTCTTCCTGCAACCACAAGGTATGTCTCTACACTAGTCCCACATTGATTTTCACGTGGAACGCGGGCAACATGTAGGGCTCCTTCACCACCGCCGGAAGGCCGCGCCCCAGTGCCGCCAGGCCCGCCGCCGCCGCCGCGCACGCGAGCTCAGCCCGCCGCCGCCTCGCGGAAGGCAGCTGCGCCGGCCGCACGGGTTCCCCCGAAGCTCGCGCGCAGCTGCCGCGCCGTCGCCCAGTGCAGGGCGACCGACAGTTCGGCCCCCAGCGCTGCGTCAGGGCGCTGGCCACTGCGGAGCTGCCCTCTTCTCCCATTTCCTGAACAAGGTCCCGCGCCAGCAGCCGCTGATGGCGCAAGGCGGCTCTGCCGTGCCAGTCCTCTGTGTCGAGGGACAGAAGGAACACGGACCACGGCGCGGGCCCGGCCGGATAGCGTCGCCCTCGGCGTCTGCGTTCACGGCACCGCCCCTCCAGGCCGCCACTGCGAGGAGTTCGGCGTCGCCCGGCACGGCGTACTGGACGGCGGCGTCCGCAAATAGGCGAGGGCACGCGCCTTGAGGTCCAGAATGGCCTCCTCGCGCTCGATTTGAAGGGGCGCCGCGCACCCGGTGCATGGCCCCGCGGGCGGGTTGAGCGTCGTGCCACGTGCGCTGCAGGTCGCACAGCGCCATCTCCACCGGTCCCACGCCGCGACGGGAACTTGGCGCGCGGTATGGTACCCGCACTCCCTGTGGATGCGCTCCCACACGTCTTCCACGGCCCATTTGCGCGCCACCTTGCCGCCGCCGCATGCGCACAAGTAAGCGCGGCGCGCCTTGGAGCACAAAGGCTCCGCGAACTGCTGACCGGCCCGCGAGCCCGTGCGAGTGCGGTTGTGGCAGCGGGCGCCGAAGGGCGCGCAGTCCTGACCCAATACGGCGCGCGCCGTGGCGCAGTACTTTACGTCGCCGAGTCTCTGGCCCGCGGCCCCCGGAGAGGCCAGCTGCCACCCAGCCGCGTGCGAGCCACCGCAGGAGCTCAGGCTCGCCCCTTCCTCGGGGCTGGAAGTGCTTCGCAAGGCTGTTGGGAGGTTTGGCCTCATCATCTCCTCCTCCTCCTCCTCCTCCTCCTCCTCCTCCTCCTCCTCCTCCTCCTCCTCGTCCTCCTCCTCCTCCTCGTCCTCCTCCTCCTCCTCCTCCTTTTCCTCGTCCCCTTCATCGTCCTCGTTTTCGTCCTCTTCCTTACCCTCATTTTCGTCCGTGTCCTTTTGTCCTCCTCTTCCTCGTCGTCGTGGTCGTCGTGGTCGCTTCCTCCTCCTTATCCTCCTCCTCCTCCTCCTCCTCCTCCTCCTCATCCTCCTCCTCCTCCTCTCCTCCTCCTCCTCCTCCTCCTCCTCCTCCTCCTCCTCCTCCTCCTCCTCCTCCTCCTCATCATCCTCATCCTCATCCTCATCCTCATCCTCATCCTCATCCTCATCCTCATCCTCATCCTCATCCTCATCCTCATCCTCCGCCTCCTTCTGGTCGTCCTCCTCTTCCTCCTCGTCCGCCTCTTCAGCCTCCTCCTCTTCCGCCTCCTCCTTCCCTCGCCCCCACGCGGGCCCCAATGATGGCCCGAACAGGCTCCAGGGCTACCCCCTTGCTCCCAAAGATCTCCCGGTTCACCCTGGTTGCCCGCTTTGTTTCACCACTGCATGTGTCACTTCATCCTTTTTCCCGTCAGTTCGCATGGGGAGAGTTTGTAAATGGGTTGGGGGGATACTTTTGCGTCGCAACCGCAGGCGAGAGCGCTAGCGGCGAGTACGGTCCGAGCGGGCCGCGCAAGAGCCGAATTGCCTAACGCCGACGGGCTGGCAACCTAAGCTGCACCTAAGCGGGCGGGCCGGTGTGAAGGGGGGTGCGGGCTGCAGCTGCCAGGAACCAGGTCCAAGAGAGCGCACATGCACGATTAACCAACCAGGGTTTGGGTGCGGGCTGCAGCTGCCAGGAACCAGGTCCAGGAGTGCGCACATGCACGATTAACCAGCCAGGGTTGGAGCGCAGCCAAAATGGCGCGGGGGAGGTACCAGGGTGTGGCCAGGAAGGCCACCACCAGTACACTGCATCGTTTACCAGGAGACCATACTGGCCAAAGACTGGTGGCTGGGGGGATACGCGAAGTGTGAAGAAATGCTCCTTGGACTTCGCGAGCTACTCCTACCTCAGGACTGAAACAACTAGGGCTGCCACCGAAATCAAGCCAGAGCTGGCCGCAGACCTTGCAAACACATTTCTGTTTCTTGAAGAACTAATTCCACGTCAAGATACCTCAGTCCCTGCACATCGTGAAGCCAGGAGGTGGCCGCTCGATATGACCAGCTGCGGGCACTTTCGGGAGGTGTGGCACACGCATAGAAAGTGTGCGTGCCGCGCTCGGCCTACACGGCAGTCCAGTCTCTTCATCGGGTCAGAGGTATCCGCATTACCTGGAGGCTGAAAGCCCCCCAGGGAAGCATATGGAGCCGACATGGCTACGAACAGGTACGGGCTGCTCGCACCATGACCCCTGAAGAAGGGAGACTGAAGAGGGGAAGAGAGGGAGCTGGAGGAGAGAAAGGAGGCCGCCCTCTCTCGCTCTCTCCCTTGTGCTTTCCTAGTTGCGAAGCACGAAGAAGAGGGGTACACCACGGCTCTCCCCGGGACCAGCGTTTCCTACTGAGCAGCTCGGGGGCAGAGGAGGGCCACGGGGGCCCGAACATGGCAAGGAGACTCCAGGACCCCTTTCCTCCAGGACCAGTGTCTCCACTTGACGATCTGCCCTCAGCCTTAGGTCGGGCATGTCCTCCTACAGGCGGATTCTGGAGGGAAACTAGAAATACCAAAGAAATGCCCTGCCCCAAGATAGTCAAAAAATGATCGAGAAATCGTCCCCATACTACGTTCTGTCTATGTTTGAGTATCCTCCTGCAGAAGGACAGGCCCGATCTAGCCTCAGCCTCCACGTGTCCCCTCCCCGCCCCTCCCGGTGAGCCGCCGTGCGCTCGTGGTCTTCGCCGAACCTTGGCAGCACGGGGGAACGAGGGACTGCTCGCCACGGGCGGTCCCACCCATGCCGTCCCGGTGCGCTGCTTCTTCCACATCCGCCGACGGGTGCCGCAGCGGGTGAGCTTGGAACCCGCAAAGAGGACCTACACCCTGCGAAATGCTTAAGAAATCATGGGTTAAGAAATTCACAGTCTCAGAACTTGAGTAGAAGCCCAGAATTTCCATCGAAATCTCGGGATTTACATTGAAACATTAAGAATAATCGAGACTCTGGCCGAAAACTTGGGTTTTCTTAAGCATCGCCCAAGGTGTAATTGTGCCACACGCAGTCACAAAAGACGGGGCTGCGTACGTTGGAGGAGGGGGCGGCAGGTGGACGAGGATGAGCAGGAGGAAGAGGACGAGGACGAGGAGGGAGGAGGACGAGGAGGAACAGCGGCAGCAGGAGCAGGAGTGGGCGAGGCGGGAGGGGCAGGGTGACCAGAGGAAGGCGGGGGAGGGGAAGGGAGCGAGGCGACACACGTGAGAAGGCACTGAAATGGGGCCACCGCTGCAGCGGGAGTACCATGATGAGACACCGAAAATGTTCTGATTGAAAAGGAACATTATAGTCAGGTGAGTAGAATGCATACGCGGATGGAGTTGGGCCACTCCCTGGCCATCTTCGGGGGTGAGGAGATTGGTATTCATATTGAGATCTTGTGAAGGAGAGAAGACTGGGATAGGTCGGGGAAGGGGGAGAAGGCGGGGGGGGTTCTAAGGGAGCGATGGGATGATAACAAGATGCTGGCGAAGGGAGGGATAACGACTGCGGACACACGCACGCATCCACATGTACTGGCTGCTGCTCGCGGTGCCTCCAATCCCTCTGGACGTGCGGGCTCGGCCGAGTTCTCAGGTGTGCTGAGCCCACCTGGACCCTCGGAGGCCAGCTCGCCGCCACGGCCAGACACAGTCCGAGAGGCTGGTCGGCATGGTCCGGGAGATGGACCTTGAGCGGGTCTTGGCCGGGTGAGCAGCAGCAAACCTGCCTCTCCGAGGAGCAGCGCGCAGATAGGTGGGCTTCCTCCTCTCTTTCTGCTCCTTCGCCTGATTCTGCTCCTGACGAGCTGGTTTGTTCTCCACAGTGCGGTGGACGCGTATCTGGCACAGCCGTCACGGGCTCGAGCGGCCACGGCTCTTCAGGTGGCCCACCGCGTCTTCCAGCAAGCCCTCTGCCACAACAAGCCCGGACCCTTCCAACGCCGTCGAAGCGGGTATGCAAAACGATTGTTGGCCAAGGCCCTTCCCTCTCGCAGATCCATCGAGTCGCATGCGATGTTGAACCAACAACCTGACAGGAGCGAGCAGGAGAAGGCCCAGCGAAATCGGCAACGCGAGCTGGGCCGCTCACTCCCATTGAATGTTGCCGATCGACCGCACGCACTGGCATCGACAAGCAGCCAAGGATGGATCCAAACGCGAACTGACAGCTCGTGGCAGGGGGACGAATGCATGCACTTCTATCCGCTGACCTCCCCTCCATCTTCCCTCTAGAGACAAATAGAAGATGAGGGGGGCAAGGGAAAGGTAGGAGGTCGAGGGCAGGAGAGCAGGGGCACGAGGAGACAAGGACAGAGGCCAGGGGTGAGCGTACCTTGATCGTTCCGGGCTCAGGGCCCCGAGAGCCGCGTCGGTCGCAGTTCGGGCCCGCTTGCAAGGCCCCCCGCCACGAACCGCTGGCTGCCCGCGGTGGCACAGCTACTGGCCGGGAGGCCATCACGAACGACGATTGGACCATACCGCCGCGGGCCGTGGCGGCGTCCGTCCACAGACCCACCCATCCCGCACGAACTCGCCGGCTCGAGCAGGGCCAGCGCAGCAGCAGCCCGCAGCTGCTGGCCGTGTCTCCGCGGGGGAAGGAGGGGGAGGTGGAGGCGGCCGCGGGGCGCCGCTGCCCACCGCAGCCCCGCGTCCGCGCGACAGGCAAGCCGAGGCCGCCGACGCCTCCCCGACGCCGGCTGGGCCAGGCGCATGCGCTCCGCGAGCTTCACCGCCGAGGTCCAGGCCTCCGCGGACTCGATCCAGCGCTTCTGCCGCCCGAAATTGTCGGCCTCCCCGCGCGCTAACGCAGGCTGCCCCCGCCCAGGCCCCTCCCCATCCTGCATCATGGCTCTGGTTCCGCCTTCGCCTGGCTCCCTCGTTCTCTTCGAGCTTCCTCCTTGATGCACACATGACGAGGAAGTAGAACCAATGACGAGACAACCATCGAGGCAACCGTGTCCATCCATCGAACAATCTCTGTCGGCCGATATGTGAACAAACTTGTGTATACACATGTATGCGCCGAAGGTATTATATATAACTTACAAATGTATGAATGTATGTCGTAACATGTGCTGAAACGTCTTAATCGACGAATGTGACTGTATGTGGATACCTAAACATATATACATATACATATACCGAAATAATGTAACGACATTACTATCCGTATATCGAAATCACGATATGTATCCCCCAAACAATGTATGCACTTACCGTGTTTCACTTCTCTTGTGAAGAATTGTGCTTGCCCGTCGGAATGGCGGCTACGTTGTCGCCGTCGCCGCCCTGTATCTCTGGGCCTGTCCGTCGGTTTGGCGGCTATGTGGTTGCCGTCGCCGTCCCGTCGCCGTCTGGGCCTGTGTTGCTTGGTACTGCGCTGCGCTATTCTGCATTGCATTAAATTGATTTGCGTTGCTTGATTTGCGTTGCTCTACGCCGCTGTGTAGCGACTCGTATCGATTTGAACTACCACCCCTTGTTTCACATGACTCTGCGTTGTCTGCGGGCCGCTCTGGCCGCCAGGTCGCCGCCGTCGCCGCCTCGTCACCACCCGTCGCCGCCCTTCACCTGGGCCTGCGGGCCGCTCTAACCGCCATGTCGCCGCCGCCTCGTCACCGCCCGTCGCCGCCCGTCGCTTGGGCCTGAGAGCCGTTTTGGCCGCCATGTCGCCGCCGTCGCCGCCTCATCGCCGCCCGTCGCCTCGTCGCCGCCCGCTTTGTAATGCTCGGCATTGCTTTGCTTTGCTTGGCACTGTTTCGCATTGAGCCCCATCATTTCGCATTGCTCTGCAGTGCTTCACATTGGTGCGTTATTTTGAATTGCGTTGCACGATTGTGCATTTCATGGCAATGAGCTGCATGAAACGATGTTTTGTCGGACGCCCTCCCGCCAGTGGTTCTCGACAGACTTCGCGTTGAGCTTCTTCTGATTGATGTTGCCGATGGGGGGCAGCCTTCCGAGGCCCAGGTCTCCGCGATCCGCTACTGCGGCCACGATCCTCTTGTAAGTTCGTCGTGCAATTCGTGGCAACCCATCGCCTAGCAATACTGGAACGTGCGACCCACCCACTCAGGAAGCCACTGGCGCTCACTCTTCACATGCATTCCTGCGAAGTCAGCGACGTAGTCCACAATCTGCACGTCGCTGGGACCATTGGGGACGATGTTGTTGGGATGCACGACGCGGGCGCCGTGCATGATGCATCCGAACAGGGCGGGCTGGGCCTGGAACGCAATCCCGATCGGCCACGTGTAGCTCCCTCCGCAACTGCGGCGCACGGCTTGGAACTGCTCGGGTGGGATGTCGAGGAGGCGGCATAGGAACCGCACACCTATGGCGATGGATGGAAAGGGTGGCCTCCTGCACGAAACTTCCCTCCCACGGAGCTGACTCTGCTTGCGTGATCTTCGGCTGCAAAGGTTCGGAAGCCGCGCGTCTGGACGCCGCGGCGCAAGGGGCCACAGCTCCAGGACTCTCCCTGGAGACCTTCGGGCGACAGCGCGCGATGGCGACGGCGCGGGCGGCCCGCTTCGCAACTGCGGCCTCTGCGAGGACACGCGGGCGCCACGGCGCGAGGCCGGCGTGGTCGAAGAACTCCTCTGTCCTCCCGTGGGGTTCATGTGCCGCGTTCTTGCAGACATCTCGGATGGCCTCCGTGCGTGCGTTCCGCAGGTATCCAGGGTCCACTGACTCAGGTTCCGCCCTCGTCTGGAGAAGCTCGAGGCCCCACGCGACGATGGCGACCGCCGCAGTTTGCGACAGGAGGGAACTGAAGACCTCACGCTGGTTGGTCGCCTTCGCGATGGCCACCGCGCTGACCACTTGCGCGATGATGGGCTGCCCCTTGCCGTCGCCTTCTGTCTTAGAAGGGCCCCTGGCTCCACGTGGAGGGTGCTCCCACGTAGCTTATCCCCTGCACGGCCCGCCGATCCCCCCACGGCCCCGCAACTGCGGCTCCAACGCAGGCAGGCTCCGCTCGCCGTTTCGGCTTTCCGAGGCTCCAAGAAGGCCCAAGGGGGGGGCCCCAAGACCACCCTAAAAGGACCAAAGAGGTCTGCAAGAAGGCCCCAGGACGGCCGAAGAGCGCCCCAAGACGGCCCAAGAGGCGCCCGAGGCGGTCCAAGAAGACCCCAGGTCGACCCCAAAAGGGGCCCAAGAGTGGGAACATGAACCGAAAATCCAAACCTTCTGCCCCAGGAGGCCCCCAGGAGGCCCCAATAAGCGTCTGGGAGGCCCCAAGAGGTCCCCAAGAGGCCTTAAAACGGCCCCTCAACAGGCCTACAAACTGCCTCCGAGAGGTCCCGAGAGGCCTCCCACGAGATCCCAACGAACATCCAATAGGCTTCCTACCCACAACCCAGGCACGGTGGCGGAATGGGCCGAAGGCCTTTGGATCCGCCGCCCCCTGTTGATTTATCACAAGGGTGACTGGCGTGCTAAATCCTGTACGGTTTGGTTTTGGTTCTTGTTCCAACAAAAAACTCCCCGTGGGGCTTCGGTCCAGCGCGCCGGCCACCCGAAAGGACCGCAAACAACCTGAACGTCCACATAGAAAAATCCACGACGGCTCATGATGGCCTCTCCGACGGCCAAGATGTCTCAAGATGGCCTACAAGATGCCTCCAAGACGGTCAAGATGGCCCCAAGAGACCCCAACATGGCACCAAGATGCACCCAAGACGGCCGAAAATGGCCTCAAGATGGCCTGCGACGGCCCACAAGGTCCGCAAGAGGCCCCCAAGAGGCCTCCAGGACGACCCAAGAGGCCCCCTAAGTGGGCCTCCAGGAAGGCCCGAAGAGGCCAAAACCATTGATTTGCCTTGGGTTTTTGGAAGGTTTTAGAAATTGTATCTGTTCAGCCTTCCGACGGCCCGAGGCGGCCCAAGAGCCCCCAAAGATCGCCCCAAGATCACCCAAGAGGCCTCCAGGATGGCCCCAGAACGGCCCAAGAGGCACCCAAGACGGCTCCGATAGAGCTCCAAGACAGCCCAAGAGGCCCTCAAAACGCTCAAGATGGCCTCCAAGACGGCCCTGAAGCACCCCAAGAGGGCCCCAAGTCGGCCGCGAGGCCCCCTAGACAGCTTCCGACGGCGTCAGACAGGCCAAGAACGCCCTAAGACGGGCAAAGAGGCCCCCGAGAAGCCCCCAACGGCCCCCAAGAGGCCCACGGAGGCCCCAAAGATGCCTCCGAGAGGCTCTCCGGAAGCTCCCAGTGCCTTCTCCTCCTCCTCCTCCTCCTCCTCCGCCTCCTCCTCCTCCTCCTCCTCCTCCTCCTCCTCCTCCCTCCTCCTCCTCCTCCTCTCCTCCTCCTCCTGATCCTCCTGATCCTCCTCCTCCTCCTCCTCCTCCTCCTCCTCCTCCTCCTCCTCCTCCTCTTTATGGTCTTACCCGCCATCCTCCCCCAAGTGTTCCCCGGAGGGCTTCCACAACGGCTGGGGGAACACATGGTCCAATAGCTTGGCAGAGCTCTTGCCACAACGCTCGGCCACATGGGCGATTCCAACAGGCAGGGGGCGGCGGTGATGCGCCTAAGGCGTCTTCGATAGCAATAGCAATAATAATAACAATACTAGACATGCGGGCGAATCATGGTTGCAAACACGTGATAATTGAGTACAAAGTGAATGCATGATAACAATACATAACTATATAAACACAAAAATACGTATGGACATGAACAATGAAACATACGAGCGAGCTGCAAATCGTAAACAGTAAAGGCTAAACAAAAGCAACAATAAGCAATGATTAATACGAATGATGGCGATAGCGAATACCACAGTTGTAATACAGATAATGCTACTGATAGTCAGGATGAAATTGTTAATGCGGAGAATAAGTAAATGAAATAATCGCACGAGTAAGAATGACAACAATAAACATATTGCAACTAGTAATGGTAGTGATCATAAAAATAAGAATTGAATCAATAATACGACCATGGCAAAAAAAAAATATCCCGGCAAAGCAACCTAACAGCGATGTGTAGAAGCATATCTGAAAGCATTCCCCTTAAGATTCAGATGAAAATCCAGTTGTCGAATTCTGCTGTTCTCGCAGTCGTAGTCGCATTCGCGATGACAGTCGCAGCGGCAACGGCAGTCGCAGTCACAGCCTCAGCCTCAGCCTGCCTCCTCCTCCTCCTCCTCCTCTTTCTCCTGCTCCTCCTCCTCCTCCTCCTCCTCCTCCTCTTCCTCCTGCTCGTCCTCGTTCTCGTCCTCCTCGTCTTGCTCGTCCTCCTCTCCTGGTGCTCTCTCCTCCTCCTCCTCCTCCTCCCTCCTCCCTCCTCCTGGTGGTCCTCGTTTTCCTCCTCCTGGTGCTCTCCTCCTCCTCCGTCCTCCTCCTCCTCCTCCCTCCTCCTCCCTCCTCCTCTTCTCCCTCCTCCTCCTCCTCCTCCTGGTCCTCCTCCTCCTCCCCTCCTCCTCCTCCTCCTCCTCCTCTCCTCCTGGTCGTCCTCGTTCTCGTCCTCCTCGTCTTGCTCGTCCTCCTCCTCCTGGTGTCCTCTCTCCTCTCTCCTCCTCCTCCTCCTCCTCCTCCTCCTCCTCCTCCTCCTGGTGGTCCTCGTTCTCCTCCTCCTGGTACTCTCCCCCCCCCTCCTCCTCCTCCTCGTCCTCGTCCTCCTCCTCCTCCTCCTCCTCCTCCTCCTCCTCCTCCTCCTGGTACTCCTCCCCCTCCCCTCCTCCTCCTCCTCCTCCTCTTCCTGGTCGTCCTCCTCCTCCTGGTCGTCCTCCTCCTCCTGCTCGTCCTCCTCCTCCTCCTGCTCGTCCTTCTTCTCCTGCTCCTCCTG